GCCCATCCTACGACTAAAAGATTTCTCAAGGGCCTTATCAATATGGACCCACCACGCAACCCAGTCCCTCCTGTCTGGAGCCTGGACGTGGTACTCGATGCCCTAATGAGGCCACCGTTCGAGCCTCTGGCGACCGTATCCTTACAATTCCTCACTCTGAAAACGCTTTTCCTGCTCGCAATAACCTCTGCACGCAGGGTTAGCGAGCTTTCCGCCATGATGGCCATCCCACCATATACGATTTTCCGTAACGATGGAGTAGTCTTGAGATTACATCCGAGGTTCCTACCCAAGATTGTCTCCAATTTCCACGTTAATGAACCAGTCATCTTGCCAACCTTTTTTCCGAAGCCCCATGCCTCGCCACGAGACGCGGCCCTACATTCCTTGGACATCCGCAGGGCCTTAGCATTCTACATAGATCGCACTAAATCGTTCAGGCTTACGGACCATTTATTCGTCTCCCTGGCACGCAGGTCAAGGGGTCAATGTCTATCTTCCCAAAGAATTTCCAATCTCGTAACCACATGCATAGTGCAATCGTACGCAGCAAGAGGGTTACCCCTTCCATCCCAACCACACGCTCATTCCACTAGAGCCATGGCCACATCTACAGCATTCCACAGAGGTGTATCTCTGAAGGACATTTGCAGAACGGCAACTTGGTCCTCTCATGGGACCTTCGCTAAGCATTATTCTACCTCTCTCTCTCACTCAGATGGGGCCGTGGCACTGAAGGACATTTGCAGGACGGCGAACTGGTCCTCTCATGACACCTTCGCTAAGCATTATTCTATCTCTCTCTCTCACTCAGATGAGGCAGTGGCGACTGCGGTGCTCTCCACGGCGGATAAATAGGGTCTCCTTGCCCTCCTTCTGTTTCCACTACGCAGTCACCCATAGTGGAGCACCCGCGGGGACATCCCCGAAGAAGAAAGCGAAGTTACTCACCTCCGGTGCAGTAACTGTCGTTCTTCGAGGTGGTGTCCCCGCGGGTGCTCCAGGAGGGGCCGGACGGACGCGAAAGCTGCGAGCCTGCAGCACATGCATGGTCCGGCCAGACACTGCTCATGACAAGTCTCTGTCTGCGGCGCCGGGGCAAGCCCAGCACCCGCGGGGACACCACCTCGAAGAACGACAGTTACTGCACCGGAGGTGAGTAACTTCGCTTTCCTAGTTTCTGATCCGTATTCATTGTCAACTTCTCCTTTCTTCCCTTTGCTACACACAGTAACAAATCCTCTAGTTGCTTTCCTTTGCCTTCCAAGCCAGTCCAGTTTTAATATATTAGATTATATATGAAATATATCGTGCTCGATGTCGGGTGGTGATTGGTTTCAAGCGGAGTGCCCCAAGAATCGGTTCTAGGGCTGCTTTTGTTCATCTTTATGAATGACCTGGTTGAGGGGATGGATTGCACCCTCAGCAAGTTTGCGGATGACACTAAGCTGGGGGAGAGGTAGATACGTTGGAGGTTAGGGATAGGGTCCAGAGTGACCTAGGCAGATTAGAGAATTGGGTCAAAAGAAATCTGATGAGGTTCAACAAGAACAAGTGTAGAGTCCTGCACTTGGAACAGAAGAATCCCAAGCATTGGTACAGGCTGGGGACTGACTGGCTAGGTAGTAGTTCTGCAGAAAAGGGTGTGGGGATTACAGTAGATTAAAACCTGGATATGAGTGAACAGCGCCCTTGTAGCCAAGAAGGCGAATGGCATATTAGGTTGCATTAGGAGGAGTATTTTCAGCAGATCTAGAGAAGTGATTACAGGCAGTCCCCGGGTTACGTACAAGATAGGGACTGTAGGTTTGTTCTTAAGTTGAATTTGTATGTAAGTCGGAACTGGTACATATTGTAGGGGAAACTCTAGCCAAACATTTCTCCAGAGCTCAGTTTTACTCTCCCACACCTCACTTCCCTCAGTCCTTTATTCTCAAGCTGAGGTGTACAGGCAGTCCCCGGGTTATGTACAAGATAGGGACTGTAGGTTTGTTCTTAAGTTGAATTTGTATGTAAGTCGGAACTGGTACATATTGTAGGGGAAACTCTAGCCAAACATTTCTCCAGAGCTCAGTTTTATTCTCCCACACCTCACTTCCCTCAGTCCTTTATTCTTAAGCTGAGATGTCTGCTGAGAGAAGCCGCTCCACGTCTCCCTGGTCTGCTGGGTGGGGCGCTAGCTTTGCGTCTCCCTGGTCTGCTAGGGGGAAAAGCAGCTAGTGCGGGGTTGCCTCACCCCGTTTGTAAGTAGGGATCCGATGTAAGTCGGATCCATGTAACCCGGGGACTGCCTGTATACCCCTTTATTCAGCACTGGTGAGGCCACATCTGGAGTATTGTGTCCAGTTCTGGGCCCCTGTGGCTGTGTCTACATTGGCAAGATTTTGCACAAAAGCGGCCACTTTTGTCTACACTGGCCACGAGTTCTTGCACAAGAATGCTGATGATCTAATGAGTGAAATCAGTGCTTCTTGCACAAGAACTATGATGCTCCCACTCAGGAATATGCCCTCTTGCGCAAGTATTCTTGCGCTAGAGGCCAGCGTAGAAAGGCAACATGAATTTCTTGCTAAAATGGCCATTGGAGGTTTCTTGTGCAAGAGATCGCCCGGCCTAAAGAGCTCACAATCCAAAAAAACAAAGGCTGAGAGAAAGGGAGTTGTGTCACCCCCATCTTACCTTTGGGGAACTGAGGCAAGAGAGATGATGCCATGTTTTGGCTGCAGCACGTTCGGGAGGTGTGACAGACGGCTGGTTAAGCCAGAGCTCTGCCACTGTAGCCTGGCTGAAGAGGCTGATGGAAAACAGCTGAGCAAGCCCAGGCCTGAAGGGCTGTTACAAACAGCTGTGGGCTTCACAAGCAGAGGCTACTTAAGGCAGCAAGAGGGGACATGGGAGGAGCCAGGTTCTGGCTGAGTGCGCTCCCAGGAAGATGGAGGAGGTATCTGAGTTTGTTGTAAATAGAAGGCGGCGGGAACTGACAATAAAAGGCACAGACGACTGCACCAGAAGGTCTCCAGGGCTATGTCTGCACTGGTGGGTTCTTGTGCGAGAAGGGCTGTTCTTCCACAGAGCGTCCACCCTGCCCGCTCGCTCTTGCGGGAGAAGATTTACAGCAAAGCTCGGGAAGAGAGGGCTACTTGCGCAAGAGCTACGCTCTGTTCTAACAAGTGTAAGCTCTCTTGTGCAAGAGGGCAGTGTGGACGTGTGGCAGGGGTTTCTTGCACAAGGAAGCCCTATGGCTAAATGGCCACCAGAGCTTTGTTGCGCAAGAGAGCGTCCACACTGCCATGGATGCTCTTGCGCGAAAGCACATGGCGGTGTGGATGGGCTCTTGCACAAGAACCCGCCAGTGTAGACATAGCCCAGGTTATTTGTGGACCAGAAGGCTTCCCGGGGCAAGCGTCCTGAGTGAGGACTCCAACACTTGGTACCAGGAGTGAGGTTCAGCGCCAATGAACGTGGTTGGTGGCTCAGAGATGCAGGGGACCCTGCAGCGGCTGGTCAAGCAGCAAGAGCAAGTGTAGCAGGCCCTGCAAAGCAGTCCCACCTGGCTTAGAGACAGGCCTTGCTAACCTGGCAGGCAGAGCAGCAGCAGAGCCTGTAGGGATTTACAAAAGAGAAGAGCAAGGTGCAGCAGCAACTCCTGAGACGTAGGTGAGTCCTGGGGAAGGGGATGGTATCCGCCCGCCAGGCCCGGGACTCCGTAAACTGGGGCCCGCAGATGACCCAGATGCATCTTTGAGGCTGTCTGAATGGATAGCCATGGGTGCTGGATGGGACAGGGCTACCTGGGCCCTGCGTCTGGCTCGCTACCTGGCAGAAAAGGCTCAGGTGGCCTACATGGCCTTGGAGGATGATCAAGCCCCTAACTGAGGCAGCAAGAGCAGCCGTTTTGGACTGGGTGGGTCTGTCCACAGAGAAGTACGGGCAGAAATTTTGGTCAGTTCGATGGACAGCAGCAGTGAGGCCCCAGGCACTTGCCCAAAAGTTACTAGACGGGGCAACTCGTTGGCCGAGGCCAGAGGCATGGACAGTGCAAGAAATCCTGGACTCGCTCGTTCGAGCAGTTGCTTCCAGAGAGTGTCGTGTGTGGGTCAGGCACCAGCAGCAGGTCGAGGCCGAGGTTCCCTGGAAAGAAGGCCGACCCGACAGGGACAGGAGGAAGCCAGAGGAGCCCCTTTCTGGGAAAGCCGGGGAGAGGAAGGAGTCATTCGAAGAGCACGTGTGGGGGCTGGCAGTGACCTGTGGGCAGGACATAAGAAGCGGGACTGCCCGGACAACAGGCCTTGCGGAGACCAGATGGATTCTGAAGGTTAACTCAGGTGGAAGGACCCACCAGGAGGCAGAGTCTGCCCCACTGTCCTGATACTGGTAGGGAGGAAGCCCTGGTGAGGGGTAATGGACTCTGCATCAGCCCCCTTGTTCATGGGGAAGGAGCAGGTGGCACTTCGGTGCGCCCATGGGGACAAGAGGCCCTACCCAGTAGCCCCTGTGCTGCTGGAAGTCAGAGGTAGGTTCCCATTACCATAGCCTGTGGTGGTAGGTCAGGACTGGGCCCAATCTGGCATGAAGAGCGAAACAGGAGCCTCAGGGAAAGGCAAGAGATCCCCCAAGTGAGACAGAAGTGTGGTCACCAGGGCTACAGTGTGGGGAGTAGGACACGTAATAGGCAGCGTCCTAACCCGCAGGGACAGAAAGATGGGAAGTGAGTCTGGGGTAGCCCTTGCCCCTCCCAGGGAGAGGAGGCACAACTGGATCACTCCCCAAAGCAGCCCCCAGAAAAGGAGACAGCAACCCTGGTTGGGGCGATGCAGGAAACTGAGGCACAGATGGAGCCGCACAAAAGGGGGGCCAGACCCTGATCCCACAGTCCAGGTGGGAGGGGTACCAGAGGGAGGGTGCGGTTGGTGGGAACACCTGTGGGAAATGCCTGAATCTATGGGCCAGCCCTTTCCTGAACTGAGGGGAGAAGAGCTTCCCGAAGAAGGCCCGGGGACTGTTTAGGCACACATGGGTATTTGCCCTGAGGGGAATCCCTTAGCAAGGGCCAGGAACCCAGGAGCAAGGGCCAGCTCCCCAAGGAGAACCCCAGGTAAACGGGGGAAGAGCCACCAGCGGGGCGAAGAGTTTTAGGGGTGGCAGGCCCAACCCGGACACTGCGTAAGTGGGGAGCGGCCCCCTGCCACGGTAGCCGGGCCGAAGAGGCTGATGGCAAAGAGCTGAGCTAGCCCAGGCCTGAAGGGCTGTTACAAACAGCTGCGGGCTTCCCGAGCTTAAGGCAGCAAGCGGGGACGTGAGAGGAGCCAGGTTCTGGCTGAGTGCGCTCCCAGGCAGATGGAAGAGATTGTGCCAGCCCCCGCCAGAGACCTGACCCGACCCTTCTGTGCCCGGCCCACAGGCGAAGCTCCGGCCCCAGAGTCTATATCAGGGCCCAGCAGGCTGGTCCCCGGCTCAGAGCGTGGGAGGGAGGAAGAAGGACTCAGAGGGGCGTGACGTGTGTGTGTCCCTTGTCCCAGCACGTCTGCCTGCACCCAGGAATGGGGGCCCCGGTAACCCCGGCCGGCCTGCTGCTCCTCCTGCACCTCACAGCTGGGACGTCTGCAGAGCCGTAAGCCCTGTCCGTGTCTGTCTGTCTGTCTGTCTGTCTGTCCACATTGTGGACACTGGAAGGGTGAGGGTTTAGAAGGAGCCGGGGGCACTGATGAGGGGGCTGCTCAGCCAGAAACTGAGGGGACAGATCCATTCACCCTGGGACCTAAGCCCCCATGCTGGGATCCTCCTGAGCCCCCCCTTTTCAAGCGCCCAGGGCACTGGTGAGGGGGCTGCTTGACTGGAAACTAAGGGGACAGATCCATTCTCCCCGGGAGCTCAGTCCCCGATGCTGGGACCCTCCTGCCCCCCCTTGTCCTACCCCCAGAGGCAGGGGGAGCTTGGCTCTGCCTAAGCAGTGACCGGGGGCACAGGAGAGCTGGGTTCAGTGCCCACCTCTGCACAGACGCCCTGTGCGCCCTCAGCCAGACACCCCCTCTCTGTGCCTCAGCCCCTCTGTACCATGGGCTGGTAATCCCCTGGGGCCACCGGCTCCCTCAGCTGGCCCCCATCTTGGGCCACGGCTGGGCTCTGCCAATGGGTCTGTCCAGCCCCAGCGCAGGGGGGGGACAGGAGTGAAAGGGCCTTGCCCTGCCCTGTGGGTAGAGACAAATCAGCCTCCAGCAGCACAGAGCCAGCGCCTCCCCATCAGAAGGAACCCCCTGGGCTGTGCCTCCCCTGCCCCCACCCACGGTGCTGCCCCCTCCCCAGGCACTATGTGGTGGTGAGCCCAGCCCAGCTCTACCACCCGCACACGGGGACGGTGTCAGTTCATCTCAGCGACCTCAACGAGACCGTCCGGGTGAGCGTCCGGCTGGAGAGGGGGGAGGGGCTCAGCAATGTCACCCTGCTGGAGAGAGAGGTCCAGGAGCCCCGTCTGCGCGAGAACCTGAGCTTCCAGGTGAGCCCCCCCCACCCAGCCCGGCCCTGGCCATGGGCACCGAGCCCGTCAGCCCTGGGCCTGCAGCCCCAGCCCGGCCTCAGGCCTCAGGCACAGACTGATCCCGGCCCTGGCCATGGGCAGCTGTAGCCACAGAGCGTCCTTCAGCAGCGACAAGCCGGAGGGGGCAGGGATGGGGGCGCAGACGGAGCCTTGGCTTTCAGCTCCACCGAGCGCCCGCCTGGTTCACTGCCCCTCCCCTTCAGGGCCCCTGGCTGGGTGGGAGGGTCCCACAGTTTGGGGGCTCAGGAATAGCTTTGCCTTAGGTGACCAGACGTCTTTTTAAAGGGACAGTCCCATATTTAAGCCCTCCTGGAGGTGCCTGTTTTCTTACAAGCAGGCAAATTGTCCCATATTTTCTGTCTCTCTTCCCTGCTCCCACCAGCACCGGCTGGTCCTGCTGCTGGCCAGATCCCTGTTTGCTGGCTGCTGCCCCCCAGGGATGGTGGGGTCCAGTGGCCGATGATGGCAGTGGGAGTGCAAAGCTCAGCCTGTCGCTCCCCCTGCTGTGTCCTCTCCCCGTGGGACCTCTCGAGATACAAAGCTGAGAATCCAGCTCCGCTGTGTGTGTGTTAACTGGGGCCCAGTCAGCTGATCCTGCTGCTGGCCAGATCCCTGTTTGCTGGCTGCTGCCCCCCAGGGATGGTGGGGTCCAGTGGCCGATGATGGCAGTGGGAGTGCAAAGCTCAGCCTGTCGCTCCCCCTGCTGTGTCCTCTCCCCGTGGGACCTCTCGAGATACAAAGCTGAGAATCCAGCTCCGCTGTGTGTGTGTTAACTGGGGCCCAGTCAGCTGATTGCTGTTGATGGGCCCCCCCCCCCATTAGGTTGCATGTGAGTCCTGAGGTGTTATAGTAACCCCGGGCTTGTGCCTCAGTTTCCCTGGGCACTGCACAAATGAATAGATGAGTGATGGGAATTTGGGGTGTTCTATGGATGGGGGTGCAGGGACCTCTCACTCTCCATACGTGTCAGTGACACCCCCCACTCCGCGCAGTAGTGGGTCTGCGCCCCGACCGGCCCGTCACTGGTCACTGTGGCCTTGCTGGGGTTCCCCTGTGCAGGTTCCAGCCCCGTCTCGGGGGCAGCAGGAAGCCGCAGAGCTGCACCTCTCGGTGCGGGGGGACACCCTGCAGTTCTCGGAGCGGACGACAGTGCTGCTGCGGGTGCTGGAGCCGGGGACCTTTGTGCAGACGGACAAGGCCGTCTACAAGCCGGGACAGACAGGTGAGGGGCAGGGGCTGCTGGAGGGGTTTGGTGGGGCCCCAGGCCCTTGGGAGGGACCCTGGGCTGTGGGGAGGGGAGGGGGGCTCCGGGGATACGGGACTCTCACTTGTAGGCCCCTGTCTGCACCCGGCCCAGGGGTGAGAGGCTCAAAGCCTGAGCCCGTTTGGGGGCTGCATGGAACCAAGGGGGGTCTCAGCCCATCCTTGGTGCTGGCTGCAGGGGCCCCGATCGGCCTCCTCTGGCAGCCTCCGCAGGGAGGCCGGGGTCTGGCCGGGCCCTGGAGGCTCAGCTCCCGGCAGCCGCCCAGGGCAGGGCCACGGCCCGTGGGCAGAGGCAGCGTGGGGAAGCTCGCGCCGCCCTGCCCGGGCTGTGCCCGTTGCGAGGGGTCACAGAGGCCGTCAGTGCCTGGGCGTCCGGCTGGCACCGTCCCCCGGGAATCACCCAGAGAACCAGGCCGGGGCTGACTCCCCTCTGCCTCTGCCCCTTTGCAGTGAAGTTTCGAATCGTCACTTTGGACAAAGACTTTGTTCCCAGCGCCAGGCCGGTGAGAGCGGGGGTGGGGTGAGAGCGGGGG